GGGGGTGGGGGGGTTAAGCTTTTGGAACTTGAATGAAATATGAATGAAGTAATAAATAATTATTTTTTAATTTAAATAGATATCTTTTTTTTATAATTATAAAAAATATAAAAGAATATAAAAATTATAAAAATAAAAAGATATACGTATTAAATTTTCTTAAGAAAAAATATATAATAAAAAACCTATATATAATATAAAGAATATACTTGGAAAACATATATTTTTAAGCATGATCTATCCCTCAGATTGTTTACATCTTAAATTCTATGTCCTCTCTATACTAGTCATCTAAGGTCATTGCTGATGTGAAAGAGCCAATCTTGATCTGTCTGATGTATATTTACTCATCACATATTTTTCTTCAAGAATTTCTTTGTATGTGCTTTATAACGCATCTTAAAATAAATGAGGATTCGGCTAGGTGTTCTTTGCTGTTTTGGTCATTTTTGGTTTTTGTTTGTTTCAATGTAACATTTCATCCTATTCATTGGATCTTGTCATATTTCTCTTATTATATTTACAGGGATTTACGAAAGAGATTCACTTGGAGAAGGAGCGCTGGCAAGGGTATGCTTAATATGCAACTCAATTATTGAAGTATATTTCATCAGGTTGCTTATAGCTTTTGACAGGAGGAAGTCATTCCACAAGAAAAGGAGGAAGAAATCATTTTAAATTTCTTGTTTTCCTTCCTGACTTTGCTTGGTAAGAAATTAGGGTATTTTTTTGGGCGAAAAAATAATGTGCTAAAATGAGCGCATATAGATTACTTCTGCTACTTTTTTTATAACATCTTTTGCAATATTTTTCTTTATTATTCTTTTTTTTGGTGTATACATTTAAGTCTTCTGATAGATATTTCATGTCTGTTTAGTTATATCAAAGACTATGATGGTGGAATCCTCATGGAATGTAAAATTGATCCAAAGCTTCCGTATATTGATCTATCAACTATGATTCGCCGTCAAAGACAGGTAATCCACCGTTGATGACATAAGTTCTCTCTGATTTCCATATAAGCTTGAAATAGACTAATTAAACTTCTATGGATATGATGGAGCTCTTTTTTCCACCCTTTTAGAATCACTGTTCAAATTCCTGCATTTTTTTAAGAGAGTTTTAGACAGGTTGTTGCTCTATGGTATATTTTGGCGTCTAAATTTTTTAGTTTTCCTTCTTCAAATACGTCTATTATGGTTTCTTTTTATCTTAATTATCAGAAAAGCTTGATGCAGAACTTTAAGTGGTAGTTATATTTCAAAAAGAAAGAAGAAAACTTTGAGTGGTAGTTTATAACGTTCTACCTTGTTTTTATCTTAAAAAAAATAATGCTTTGACTTGCTTTTTCAAACTGGGCCCAACAGGCAATTGATGAAAAGATAAGAGAGCTCTCAAACTGTCAAATTGTATACTCAGGACTTGATTTTCAGAAGGTATATCTTAACCTTCACTGCAAGGATTTGGGTTCAATATATGATAAATGTTTCAGGTTCTTGTATTGGGTTCCTGTCCAAAAATAGAGAGCTGCATATGTATGATTGTCAGGGTTGCGTTAAAGTAAGATATGAATTTCTCCAATTAAAGCTGATTAAGAACTTATTTTGATTCAGAAAGAAGCTGCTATTCCTAGAAAGATAATCAAACCCGAAGATATGCCTGGTTTCAGTAAGTTTTTCAAAATTTTAAGTGTAATTTTGAATAATGTTGTTAAATATATATCTTGTTACCAGTTGATTGACATATTTTCCAGTATTTTACCCACTGTGATGTTCATTTTTGTTTCCTTTTCAGTTTCTTGCTTATTGACTTTTTGATGCAAAACCAATTTGACCAAGATTTTCCTATAGATTGGGGATTATACTTTTCAATCTAGTATTTATTGTATTAGGTTCTGTGGCATTAGGATTTTATTTATTGCTTAGATTTTTTTCAAGTTATTAAAATCAAAGCCTAATAAAACTCCATAATCTTGCTCAAGAAAGCTATTCAGCACAATATTCAAAGAAATTTCTCAGCATTCTTGTTCTGTATGATTGTGATGCAATCACACCCAACCTTAAGTGCAATGTTTAAGGGATACTCAGTCTGATGCTTGGTTACTTCACTAGTAATTTTCCTAACCATTAGCCGTAAATTCTTTCCATGTGATGTCTAATAATCCCTTCACTTCTACATCTAACCCTAATATAGGCAGATTGATCCATCCACACAACATTTTATATTTTCTTCTGTAGAAAAGGAAAAGAAATAATTTTCATCTTTTCCAGACATTAATTACATGGATTCACCTTCCTGGTTGAGCAATCACAGAGAAACATATTATGTCATGTTATCATTTTTTAACCAGTTTTCTTATCCAGCATTTGAAGCTAGAATGGTAATCATGTGCATTCTGATAACAGGGGAAGCTGGATGGACTCCTGATCAATGGGGCCATTCACGGTTCAAAATGTTTAATGCGTCAGCAGAAAGTGCAACAAATCAAAAGCATTTGACTGCATTCATGCGCTCACTTCTAAAGGTGGGTTCCTATGATAAATCTTTTTCTGCTTTGCTTTCTATTGATTTTCATTATGAGTTCCTAGTTAATATCATATGTACATCAAATCTTAGTCTGGACAGTTTGCGGTTAGAACCTATAAAGTTTAGCTATTTATTAAGATGTTATATATAAAAAATTCTTGGAGTCAACACTTAATGTAAACATTATAATATTTGGAAGTCTTTGCTAAGATTATGTTGAATGTAGAGCAGATTTGGTGACCATGAGATCGTTTCAAAGGATTTTGTGTATGCTGCAACACTTAATTTATTAGATGAAACTTCCATTCAATTAAGGTTGAGCATGCTCCCACATTCTTAACTTTTAAGTGCTTTCGGTGGTTCAGTTTGCTGAAATATCTCCAATCTTTTATGCAGGAAAAATGAAACAGGAACTCAGAAAATAACATTGCAATTAGATGTTTTTTTCCTTAGGATATAAATTCATGCGAGATTATCGTCAATAGTTTGAAATCAATAAAAGAGTGACTGCCTGTGCTTTTTTCTTTTTCAGATTTAACACTCTTTTCAACATGTACAAAATATGTGTAAATGAGCCTTTTTATTCCTCTTTGAATCCTTACTGAAATGTTTTTGATTGACCAGTCTATGCATGAACATGTTGATGCTTGGCCATTTAAAGATCCAGTTGATGCCAGGGATGTCCCTGATTATTACGACATCATAAAAGATCCTATGGGTAAGATGTAACTTATATATCCCTTTCTTAACGTATTTTTAGCTTACCTTGAAATTTGACAAATAAGAACTTATAAGTTCTATAAAAGCATTTTAATTTAATAAAAATATTTGACAGCTAATAAAAAGCTTAAAAGCTATGTGTTAGTAAGCTCTTAAAACTTGGAACAACATTTTTGTAAAGCTAGTAGGCATGACTTTTGTTTTAGATAGCTTATAAGTTCTCTAAAGCAGGTGGGATTGATCAAACAGAAGTTTTAAATGCTTGTAAACTAATGACGTTTATGGGCTCATGTTAGTTAAATAGTTAAAGAGCTTATTTATGAAAACTTCTATACAACTTCTATGCTATTAAAGTACTTAGAAAATATAGAGCTTGTAAGTTAAAGTTTGCATATTCTAAGCAAAGTCAAACACCCTCTTGTAAAATTGCTTGATATATCTTTTGGACTTAGCAGCCTACAATTTCTGATAAGACTGAGAATTCCTTTGGTTTTTCTATTGCTGACCTATCACTCTTGTTTATGGATAAGTAAAGAACATTAGGCTCATTTGGTAAATGAAGATAGACATTTTTTCTTTTCCTAAACTCAGAAATTCATACATGTATATGCATGAACACATATATAATGGTGTGTATTTGTGGAGTAACAATGAAGATAACAGTAAATGAAATGGAGTTTGAAAAGATTAATAAGTTGGTTTTAGTATTTTTAAGAAAATGACATCTATTGATATTTTATTAGTCCACAAACAAACATCAGCATGCATGTTTTACAAATAGGGGGTCTTTTTTGGGAGAAGAGTTTTACAAATAGGTACATATGGATTTAAAAAATAAAAATTAGAAAATCCCTTGGACTTTAGCCTAGAAGTTAGGTAACTAGGATTTGGAAAGGACTGTTGTGATTGACAAGATAACAACTCTGTTAGATAGCGAAGAAGAATCTAGGATATTTTGTGCTTGACATATTTCTTTTTTTTTTTGAAATAACAAGTGTAGTGTTCTCATTAAGTATAGGCACCAAGAATGCAAACTTTTTTTTTTATTTGAGATAAAAAGTACAGTATGTATTAACAAGTACCAAAAAAAGGAGGTACCATTCATTTACAAAAGATTTACAATCGTGTTAGCATATCAATGACATTTCCAAAATCCACATTATTGATAATGTCATGATCTAACAAAATAGACTCAAAATAGTGAAACCACCTATCTTTTAAATTAAGAATACTACTCTCTACGTTATCAAAAGCTCTGCTATTTCTCTCTTTCCAAATGACCCAGAAGGCGGTCAGAGGAATCAAATTCGCAATCTTATTTTTTACATATAACCCAGCCCAAGCCCAAATTTCTCCCTCAACAGACCCAGTCATAACCCATTCAATCCCCAAAAGACTATAGATCATGCATCATAACGCATATGCCATCGGGCACCATAATAAAAGGTGATTACAAGTTTCCTCAGTTTGTAGACAACAATAACAACCATTAACCAGCATTCTTCCTCTAATTCTCATCTTGTCAATAGTTAAAATTCTCTCCCGGCATGCCTCCCAGGCAAAAAAAGCAATACGAGGCGGAACCTTGGTTTTCCACATTTGTTTTGCTGGAAAAATATGTCTATGCACGTTCTCTTTTCTGCACAAAAAATGGTAATATGATTTTACAGAAAAATAGCCATTTTTTTCATACTTCCAAACAACCCAGTCATCACAATTGGAAATACTCTGTTCTGCCAGCAGCTTCATCAATTCCTCAAATTCGTAAACTTCCCAATCATTTAGGTTCCTGCTGATAAAGATAGACCAAACAATGTTATCGTTAGATTTCCGGTAAGCATCCACAACAGCCATCTGTTTCGACTGGGCAATGCTGAAAATTCTGAGAAATTTCCTGCGAAGGCGACCATCCCCAGTCCAGTCGTCCTCCCAAAAATAAATCATGTTCCCTCTCTCCAGTTTCCAAGTGACACAAAGCTGAAAATGGCATCATTGCATCAAAATTTTCCTCCACAATCCTCTTCCATGAGTAGCAAGAATCTTGCTGAACCCCTTCCTATCCATGTACTTACCCCAGCGAGAATGAACAACCCTTCTCCATAAACTATTTTCTTCCGTCATGTATCTCCAAAGCCATTTCCCCTGTAGAGCGATGTTCATATTGACCATGGACCTGATTCCAAGGCCCCATAATTGATAGGTTCTTTGACATCTTCCCAGTTCACAAGATGATACTTCCTCTCCTCTTCACTATCACCCCAAAGGAATCTACATTGTATTGTTTCCAATCTTTTAGTCACCTTTCAAGGGGATAGTAATTGTTGATAGGAAGGAAACATATTGGGAGATTAGCCAAAGTACTCTTTAATAAGGTGTATCTCCCCTCTTTTGAAATAAAATTTATTTTCCAACCAAAAAGTCTTCTTTCAAACAGATCAATCACCGGTTCCCAAGATAGTTGATCTTTATACTTAGCACCAAGAGGAATGCTAAGGTATTTAAGAGGAAATTTTACCTCTTTGCAGCCCATGACCGTGGCAAAAGAACCAGCAGCCCCATTTCCACCAATTCTTGTCATTTCCGAGTTATTTAAGTTTATCTTGAGTCCTGAAACAGCTTGGAAGTACAAAAGCACACATCTCAAATGTAGCAAGCTTCTCAATTCCAGTTGACAAAAAATTAAGGTATCATTGGCGAAGAAAAGGTGGGAAATTTTAGTACTAACCCCACTCCTTCCCACTGAAACCCCCCTGATTAGATGCTGCTCTTGAGCCCTATTCAGTAACTTATTAAAAGCCTCCATCACCATTATAAACAAGGTGGAATGCAAACTTTGTTTTTAATTGGTGGCTCCCACAACGTGGAATGTTGATCGCATTGGGAGAGTTAATTATTGAATTGTTAAGTTACAAATAGGCTCTTTCTCTCTCTAAACTCTCTCTTTCTCTCTCTAAACTCTCTCTGAATCTTTTGCCTGTAATGGCTACTTCTGGCCAGTTTCGGCCGACTAAGCGGCTCTACTATTATGAGCTTGCCTGGTAGACCATACCTCTACATCGAGAACAAATCCTTCAACCTGATCTGTGAAGGAAGAAACGTGGAATGCTTGCAGATTTGCAAAAATGGAGAGTTTCAGAAGATCGATATTTCTTGAAAGAGATGAGTGTAGATGGTTCCTGAAAGGACTTAACGAGTTTTGGTGGAGAAGAAAG